TGCCTGACACTTGCCTTTAAGATCCCTCATTTCATTGCTGGATGTTGTATTTGCACTCCTCGTGTTATAAGCTTGATTGTGCACTGCTCCAGATTTGCTGTGAATCAAGGCCCTATTTTACACCTAAATCCCGCAGAAGAAAGACTATATTTATGCAAGACATGACGTACTTTTATTAGAATGAGATTATATCAGTTTTAGCTTCTAGGTATGGGGAATAATGATTGGTGCAAAGATTAGTTACATTAATTACAAATCTCTGCATACTTTTTAGTATGTCACCTTCTGATTTCCCTAATTTTTGGCATTTAGCCCCTGTTTGACGCCCATTTTGGAGAAAAAATAAATTCTGGAATAGTGATTGATGGAAGAATTTGTGGTTAAAAAGTAATGAGAATTTTATGGGTTTATGTGTAGTATTATTTTATTAATAGAATGTGTGGTTGAAATGAAAAAAGAGAAAAAAAAATGAGAATGAGATGGGTGTCAAACAGGGGCTAATTATTAATGTAATTTATATTTTATCCCCATATCACTTGCAGTAAGGATAATTGCGTCAAAACAATAATTTTTGTAACTACATATTAAGTTATAGCCTCCTTATAGTATAAAATTAATTTGATCCAAAAATTATGACTATAAAGAAGTTTTATGGTATAAATAATCGATTATATCTTTCCTACAAGATATATTTTGCATCAGTTACCCATTAGTCATATCCATTTTCTCATTTCTAGGTGGCATTCTTCTAGAAGTTGGTCAAAAGACTTCATAAAGAATGTCCAATCATGTCACATAGATATAGTCGATGTCAGCGTAAAAAAAAATAAAGAATACATGACAGCATTTCGTTGGACAATTAGAAAAAAACCCATACGGACAGCACCCATCAAAAGCCCGTCACCAACACTGTGCAAGCAACATTATTGAAGAATGTTTGCCCTTTCGTACGTAACAAAACACTACACCACTGCTTAAAACACATCAAAATGCGCCTCCCAGCAACAAATTGATTATTGGCCTTTATCTGATCTCTTTGGCGAAGAAATTGAAACGGTCTTCTGGTAGTCACGGGAATGCTGACAACAAAGTCAATTTTATCCCTAAAATGCTATATGACATGTTCAATTAATTAATTAACTAATCCAACGTGTGATTAATAATGCATTAAAATCAAAATTCCTGTCTAAAGGAAATATCTTGTTAATGATTCGCCGTTGCTAATTTTGACCTCTACACCACAATGCTGATAGAAAGCTGCCTATATGTGTGTGTGTTTGAATGTTTGTTTTACACAACCACGCACTCATTCTTTCATAGTTATAGAGAGAATAGAAAGATGGTAGCAAAGGATAGCTGCAGTTCCTTGAATCGACATGCAATGATTGGTGGAAACGGCCTTGAAAGCTACACCAAAAACTCATCATACCAGGTAAAAAAAACAAAATAAAAATAAAAAATATATATATACACACACGTGTGTGTGTTGACAATAGAATTCTGATCAACAAATTTGTCTCACCTATCTAGGGTTTTCTACTCCTAAATTCACTGATTTTGATGTTTAAACTAGAGCAAGAGTTGAAATGACTAATTGTGAACAAGATATTTGAATTTGCATAAGTTTCTCTTACTGGGGGGGAGGATTCTAGAAAAGGATCGGTGATGATCGTTTAGTGGTGGACTGATAACTAATTTTGTTATATGTTCACGTGTTATCCGATGATTTGTAAGTCACGCTTTTTGGATTTGTCGACATGTATTAAAATAACGGTTTTTCCCGCCATCTTTGAGGTTGATTCGATTCGCCACTTTTGCAAGCATTATTCTTGCTTTGCCTGCCTCCGTGCTTTCTTACTTCGCCTATGGATTGAGCTCGAAGGATATGTTTCTTATTGACATCAATAATGTGTATAATTGCTCATTCTAAAGTGGGTTTGTGTTGCTCAGAGAGGTGTTATTGATGCTTCCAAGTTACATATTCAAAGTGCCATTGCTAAGAAGCTTCAACCAGAAAACTTTGCAACATTAGACGCATTTTCCATTGCTGATTTAGGTTGTTCAGTTGGACCTAACACTTTCTTTGCAGTGCAAAACATTCTTGAAGCTGTTAACCTTAAGTATAAAACCCAAGAACGCAATACCAGAATCCCAGAATTTCAAGTTTTCTTCAATGACCATTCAATGAATGATTTCAACACCCTCTTCAAGTGTCTCCCACCAAATAGAGAATACTATGCTTTAGGTGTTTCGGGATCTTTCTATTCCCGCTTGTTCCTACGAGCATCTCTCCACTTTGTGCACTCGTCGTATTCACTCCACTGGCTTTCTCAAGTGCCGAAAGAGGTTACAAATAGAAAATCACTTGCTTGGAACAAGGGGAGGATTTACTACCTTCATGCTAGAGAAGAGGTAATTAAGGAATACTCGACTCAGCATGCCATGGATATGGCCAACTTTCTAA